GGTCACCTAGTGGAAATTTTGATTACTTTATAAACGAGCTTGAAAAAGTACTAAAATTCCTACATAGAATAAAAACCGAATTTATAATATGTGGTGATTTTAATGTAAATTTTCTAAATGATACAGGGCGTAAGACAAAGTTGCTGTTGCTGTTACAATCTCTTAACATTTTCAACACTGTGCAGTTTCCAACAAGAATAACTGAGAGCAGTAGCTCTCTAATAGATAATATTTTTATTGATAATATAAGGATACATTCATATGATGTTGTCTCGATTGCCAATGGTTTGTCAGATCACTATGCACAATGTCTTATACTGAAGAATATTAGCAGTCTGCACATGCATAAGGTTCTTGGAACTACGATTAGAATTGTAAACAAAGATTCAATAGCACAATTGCAAGATAAAAAAGGAAATGAATGCTGGAAAAATATTTATCAATCAAATGAAGTCAACGAAGCATATAATTCTTTTCTAAATAAGGATTTGCTTATTTATGAATCATGTTTTCTCAAGCAAATTGTAATTAAGAGAGAAAATGATAACGGATGGATAACAGTGGGAATATGTACCTCCTGTAGACATAAAGAATTTCTGCATACTCTTAGTAAAAATAATGATAATCTACTGAAATCTTATTATAAAACCTATTGTAGGATACTAAGAAGAGTAATAGGAGAAGCGAAGAGATTACATTATAATCAACTAATTGTAGCAGCTGAGGATAAGATAAAAACAACATGGAGCATTATTAATATGGAAACAGGAAGGAAGAATAAAAACAGCAAAGATACTTTACCTAAATCATATCACTCAATACTGTAAAAGTCAATATTGATGAAGCAGCCCATAGTTTCAATAAATATTTTTTCATCAATAACAGAAAATCTCAATATAAAGAAAACTAATTCACATGTAGCAATGAATATTTGTATACTTATTGTCCAAATGGTTTCCCTGCTATGAGCTTTAATGTAGTCACTGAAGACAAGATAATTAGTGTGATTAGTAAGCTCAAATCCAAAACTCATCACGGTATGACAGTATAACTAACAAATTAACATAACTGTGTAGACAACAAATAAGTAAATCCTTAGTATATATAATTAATAACTCAATAACAATGGGTGTATATCCTGAAAGACTCAAATATGCAGTGATTAATCTGATACATAAAAAAGGAGACAAGACCATTACACATAATTATAGACCAATATCAATAATAACTGGGTTTGATGAAGTATCTGAAATGGTAATTTATAGAAGACTCAATGATCATATTACAACACACAAAATATTACTCCCCCACCAGTTTGGATTCCAAAAGGACTGTCTACTGAAGAGGCTATTTATAAATTAACTAATAAAATACTCACTGCTTGGAACAGAAAAGAATATGCAGTTCATTCGACTGTATTGATCATGAACTCCTGTTAATGAAACTCCAATATTATGGAGTTCAGGGCTCTTTCTTGCAATGATTTAAATCATACTTTCAATATAGGAAACAAAGGGTTCAACTAAAGTATACCAATAACAAATATTACTCCGATTGGGACCTAGTCCATTCGGGAGTGTCTCAGGGTTCGGTACTAGGACCTCTGCTATTTAATATTTACATCAATGATTTTCCCCTCAAAATAACTTAATCTTCAGAAGTCATCATGTTTGCAGATGATACAAGCATCCTTTGTACATCTTTGTACATCCAAAGATTTCAACAACCTAAAAATAAAACTGGATATTGTTTGTAGTCACATGAGTAGATGGTTTCAGGCCAATCTTCTTGCATTAAATATTGACAAAACTAAAATGATAAAATTTATGCCAACAATAGCTACTGATTATCAGCTAAATACTTTGCTTCTTAACACAATGTTGAAAACAGCTGAATCGACAACTTTTTTGAGTTTGCAGCTTGACTCTGACTTGCAAAGCACATATAGCCCAGTTACTCCACAAGTTGAGCACAGTTGGATTTTTAATGCAAAAATTATAATATAACTAAAAATTTGTATACTATGCATATTATCACTCGTTAGTAAAATATGGAATAATATACTGGGGTAATACTCCTGATTGTCATAAGGTTTTTCTTATGCAAAAGAAAATAATAAGAATAATGGTGGGAGTGGGACCATGCCACACTTGTCGTGACCTGTTTAAAAAGCTTGAAATATTGCCAATTCCTTGTGTATATTTGCTTTCACTTATGACATATGTTGTGAACAACTACGATAAGTTTTTGAAAAACAACTCTATATATATGATTGGTACTAGTAATAATGATCATCTTCATGTACCTGATTCTCGTTTATCATCTTAATAGAGAGGTGTATATTACTCAGGTATCAAGCTATTTGATGTATTAGCTAACAGTATCACAATTTTGAGAACAGACAAAAATCAATTTAGGAAGGCTTTACTAAGATATCTGCTGAGAAATTCTTTTTACTCTATCGAAGAATTTATAAGAGCATACAAGAGTTACAAAGATAGAGGGTAAATAAACAGTATGAGTACACACATTGTAAGTTACTCCCTTTGGTTGGATTTAATAGTGGCTGTACTGATTAATTTAACACTTCACAATTCTAGTCAGTTAAGGCTGAGAATGGACTTACCATGTATGTATTTTTCTAAACGGGAAAATTGGACTGACAACTTGTCTCTTTGCATGACGCTCTATTTACCTTAGATACATTTTAATATATTGTAACGTGTTTACGTTACTGAATACGCCGTAGAGATC